GGGGAGCCTATTGGAAGTTCCTAATGTCCTAAATGGTGTGTGGGGGGGGGGGTGTGTTTAAAAATGCAATGTGCCAATGTGTGACATTGTATGGTGACAGCTTGGAACATAACTGCAATATTTAACTCAATTTAAGTGCCAGTGGTCTCCCCTTGACGAGTAAAATCATTTTGCACATTAGACAGAGTAAAATAATAAAGTAGGGTGCATTGGAGCACAGTGTGACTCGATGGATTAATTAGACACATGGGCAGATAGGCCAGTTAACCCATTAAGCACTGGCGCTTTCACAGTGATGGTCCATGATCTGTTGACTACACATGGGTCAAATGGTTGGATACACATGGTTGGATACACATGGGTCAAATATTCATTGTCTGACAGTGATGTAAAGGACTTCTTAGGTCAATTTTTGGACCAAGGGCTTTCTATTATGTTTTAAGATTAATCTGCAGATCAACTGCCACCTGCCGCATATAAAGGCCCCAGTATAAGCCAGTGAGCTCCATTGATTTAGTTACTATGGTTTTTTGAACTGATAATTTGATTAGTGATATGGTCTGTTACTGTAGAAAAAGATGAAATGGTATAAAAGCTGTTTAGGATCTTCAAAGTTATTGGACATCAATGGCCGGCATCTTGGCTTACCTTTTCTCATACCTGTAGGCTGAATGACTTCTTTCTCCAGATATAATGGAGCTCATTGGTCTAGGCCAGAGGGTCTAAGCCTAACCAGACAACCCTGATTATAATAATTAAGTCTTGGCTTAATGAGTTAATTGATTCTGTTTCAGGTCTTAAAGTCAGACAAAAGTTCTGAGGGTTGTGATGAACCACAAGGAACTTACATTGATGTTTTAAAAGAAAAAATTGCCAAAATTGATCAGGAAATTGATGAACTGGGGATAGAATATTCTGAAGATGAACTGCAGATCCATATTGATAAACTGCATGAATATAATGAAATTAAAGATACTGGGCAACTACTGCTTGGAAAAATTGGTAAGTTGGGTGTACACAATGTAGGCATGCACCAGATAATATGTCATACAGTATAAGGTTTAGACCTTCTGTTGGGTCAAGTTCAAGTCTCAAAATTAGTGCCGATTACCAGTCATTGATCACTAAAATCTTCATTTTGATTAATTTTGCTTCTACAGCGGAGATTGAAGGTAAGACAACGAAAATGATGTATGAAGAATATGGCTTGGATATAGAAGACTAGGGCAGTACATTGTGGACAGTTGTATTATTATATTTACAAAAAAGGTACTGTACATTCCATGAAATACATTGCCAGGATAAGGTTGATATTTTGTTGTATGAATCTTCAAACACGAAGTTTGGGACATGAAAAGGGTATGCCATACATAGGCGTACAGGAGGAAAAAATTAGGGACAGAAAGAAACTTGTCTAACTTTTTGGCATTTTTGTCCACCTTATTAAAAAAAAATTCTGTGCAAAATTTCTGAAATTCTTGTCGATGGGGGCAGGGCTTATAATTTGCCTGATTTCATGGGGAGACGGCCTTGGACCCCCTCCCCCTAATGCCTATACGAGTGTTACCTTGGGCACCACATAGCTGCATACTTCTGTCAAAAAGCTTCCTACAGTACTCAAAATTGTATTAGGAATCCTGCATTAACATAGTGGAAACGAATCTCAATTCTTGTTAACTTCTTTAATTGTACCAATATTAACAGGCTGCGATAATTCGCATACTACTGTACTTAATACGTACCATGCTACTTAATACGTACCAATATATTACGGTATATATACTTCTATATTACGGTGTATACGGTTTGGTAACTCTTGCTATCTGCGTACTTACTTTTTGCTGATACCACATGACTGTTCCAAGCCAAAGGTATTCAATACCGTAATTTAGTTGGTATATCATGTGTCTGAGATGTCTTGGTATGAAACATGATTGAAACGTTGAAGTCGATTGTTTGTGTATGCAATTGTCCTTCTTTTTCTACCTCATAGTATTGAGTATTGAGTTTGTTCTAGCGCAAGTACGCGGCAACAACAATTGGCGTACCAGTCAGGTACGACTAAAAAATATTGAATTATCGCAGCGTGCCAATAAAATACATTAATTGTCTATGCTGATCATGATAGGTAAATATGTTGTTTTAATAAGATGCAGTCAAGTTGTGAGAGCGTTTGTAAATTTCACACGTGTGTGAAGACCCCATTCTGGGTGGATTGAGAAATGACGTTGGTAAGGTTTCGATGATTGCACAAACAATGCACTTTTATTGTTGCTGCTGTCAATGTGGTGGTACATGGGGACATGATGCCACGTCTGCATTCCTTCCTTTTCTCTCTTGCTCGCGTGATTGCTGTTGCGATGGTCGACGTCAAACCTCGTCACACTTGGGCTTTGCTTGATGGCATTTAGTTGCAGTGGTTTAATGGAATCAGGTATCCTGTTTCTAAATAGAAAGGTCACAAAAGCATTTACAACCTAAACTATAGCTGTCTGTTTTTATACTCGAAATCTCTATCAGTTCATTCCTTGAAGGTCTAGTAGGACTGTCTTTATATCCAGAGATACTGGTGCAGTTCTAAACTGCTCTTTCTTCAGGTCCAGTAAAAGTCATCTATTGGTACTGAATGGGAAGACTTAAACTAAACTGTTCTAACTCTATCACCTCAGTTCTAAACTGTTCTCCCTAGAGGTCCAGTAAGGATCATCTTTTATTGGTCCAGAGTTACTACAGGAGGAAACCTAAACTAAACTAACTTTATTTGTACTGGATAGCTTTATCAGTTCTAAACTGTTCTTCCTATAGAGGTCCAGTGAAGGCAATCTCTTATTGATCCAGTGTTACTACAGGAGGAAACCTAAACTAAACTAACTTTATATATATTGGACAGCTCTATCAGTTCTAAACTGTTCTTCCTAGAGGTCCAGTGAATCTTTTACATATGCATGGACACAATTCTCGAGTAAAGCGAAGAACGTACCTTTCCAAAACTTGCAATGCAATTCTAACTCGTTGCTTTTTCTTTGGTGTCTTGGCCTCGATATTCTCGCTGCTGTTGTACGCGGATAGTAAGTTGAATGCCGCTTCTCGTTCTGCAATGAGAGAATTGATCATATCATTGAGGGACGGTGTGTTGACCGATGCAACTTGCAAAATATAGGCATTGAACCTGCAGCTCTTTTGCAATCCTGTGTAATGCATGTTCTGATAAAGAGCTAGTCGTGTGTTCCTGCACATCTACAGAGAGCTTCGGTACAGTATTTGGTCGAGCAAGATGTCCCACATGGAGAACAAATTTTAATACCAACCTCTTCTTGTCGACGTCTTTACCCAATCAAATATTTTGTCCATTCTTTCAGGAGTATGTGATAACTATACAACAAGAAGTTTTTGATTATAAAGAACAATATCAAAGAAAATATCAACCAATTGATAGATCGGGGTGAAATGGTAAATCAATGGAACCCCTTCATCATGATCGAGTCAGAATTTTATTTTCTGTTCATCTTGTACTAAGGAAGACCAAAATCGGGGACGTTCTTGCTGTGAGTTCTTGCCAGTACAATTAAGTCTGACTCCTACAAAATACAGTTGTCTGACAAAAATGTTGGTTGTTTGTAGAAAACTCCGATATGGTATCTTGTTTCTCGGTATCTCAGGATTGTAAGCACGCTCACTATCTGCTGTTACCAATTACGGATGGGACCTTTAAGAAGAGCAGTTTAGAGATGATACAGGTTATTTTCCCTGTTTCAGAGAAACTTGTTAGACTCACCATTGAAAAGCAAGCAACAACAGAATCCATGATATAATAGTCATACATAACGTAGGAATACAGTATACCTTCATAGATGTCCTGCTTTCTGTAGCTTTCAGCATTGGCAGTGCAGTGTTATTTTTCTAAAATATAAAATGCCTAGTTATAAAATGGCTATAGAAGCACAAACGTAACCATTCTCTATTTTATGTTAAAAGCGAACACGACTTACTTGTGGGTTGTTCTGAATGCATTCTGGCAACAATCCTTTCATCTTTGGTACTAAAAAAAGACAATATAGAATTATGACAAGAGCAATTTCTTCGCTACTTTGTCATCAATAGATATACTTACATTCCTGAATATTATTCACATTTTTTATAGATCTGTTGGATAATCTCTTTGCATCAATTCCACAATCATCTTTGGCGCTCATCTTCCTATTACCATCATCAGACTTTGTTCTGGGGGTATCGTCTAACTTTATCTCAGCATTACCATCGGACGTTTTTTCTTTTAGATTTGTCACGACCTCCGGATTTTTGCTTGAAATGTTTTCTTGTGATCTAAGACTACCACTCTTGTTCATTTTTCTATCATAACGTGCCAGTACAGCCTTCTCTTCTTTTAATTCTTGGATATTTTCACGCGATTGTTTTACTGTCTTATTTGGAATATTATCTTTCTCGTTAAATGTAGACCCGTGGTCCTTACCTAATTTTAATGTAATTGGCTTCAACGTTTTTGAGTTGGCAGATTTTACATCGTTTCCATCACGTTGTTTTTCCTCGACTTTATTACTCTGTGATCTATTTGAACTTTTCCCACTATTTATTTCAGAAGCGTTTATTTTCAAGTCCTTTTCTTTCATCTGACTTGTATTTTTAATTTTTGGCTCGGACGTCTTTTGTTCAGGGTTTTTCTTGTTTCTTTTCAAACTTGTTGAAGTCAGAGATCTCGGCGCTGTTGTACGTCTCGAAATAATGCTTGCACTTTTAGCTTTGAAATTCTTGTCCGCTTCCTCTACCATGGGTGAAGTTTTCTCTGAAGAGAAACGGTTTAAAACTCGGTTTTACTCGTTGGCAGTGCAGCGTAATTTTGTTAAAATGGAGTGCCAAAACGTATTATTCGATGCAATATTTCAAAACTTTGAAAACTTCCTGCTCGTGACAGTGCTATTGCCTATAATATATGATAATACTACAATACCTACCAAGTTTCTGGTTCAGCAACCGTGATGGGACTCTCCAACTCATAAAGTTCTATAGAAAAATTGTATAATATAATAATTATAATATTTTATTATATAAAGTATTAATAGTGCTTTATAGAGATTTCGAGCACTGATAAAAGTGATAATCATCACATGTGAGATTATTCACGATAATCTCACGTGTGAAAATTATCGCTTTTCAATTATCGCTTTTCTGTAAAAATTATCGCTTTTCAAAGACTGTCCTTTATATACTGTAATAAACAGAAAAATACATGGGTGCTTGGAAATACCGGATTTATTTCTCGTGTTGAAGATGATATCTCACTCGTTCGCTGCGCCCACTCGTGAGATATCATGTTCAACACTCGAAATAAATCTGGTATTTCCGCGCACCCATGTATTATTCTCTATATAGTGGCACAGTCTTCAGAACTGGGGCCTTTCATCAAAGGAAAGGGAAATCTTTCAAAGATGTGCATGAATAAACACACATACTTGTAAAACATTACAGAAATCCCCTTCTCCAAATCACTGGGGTAATTTGACTTCCTCATGGTCATTCATTGTGGGTGATATCAATAAACTTGGCATCTGGTGTCGTAATCTCTTAATAATTAATATACCCTACATACAGATTTTAACATTAGGAAAATATGTGAACGTATGCATGTGAGATTGAGCTTTGCCAGTTCTCTGAACATGCATTTTCCCCATGATTTTGTTCAAAGTTGAACTGGAAATTCAAATCAGAATTCTTAATAGGTCCATCACAGTTGGATGTCATACTGTATAAGATGGCCAGGAAACATGATAAACACTCCTGAGATTGTGGGTTCGATTCTCCCGATTCTCATGTGAAAAGAGTCAGTCAAAGCTCTGCCGAAAGGATTTTCTCTGGGTGCTCCAGTTTCCTCCCACAGGGAAAGTTGACAGGGTGGGTTAGGATAAACACAGTTAAGAAAGTGATATCACAAAGCCCCATATGAGGAGTAAGCTGAATAACAATGTAACAAGGTCATAGCCAGGTTATTAAAAAGGACGTCCTGGTAGTCAAATATAACCAGATTCCGGGTTACCTTACCACGGTATAGCCTGCTCAGCGGACCCCATCCGAAAATTTGAAGCGGATACCACGGTAAGAAGTGAGATAAATAACCCGGAAATTTAACGAGGTATATTGCGTTAACCCAAATATAGAGTTATTCCTAGATGAACCAGGTAATTCGGGTTTGGATAAAGGATCAGGGTATGGATTCAAGGTTAGGGTTATTAATAGGATTCGGATTAAGGTTAGGGTAAGGTTTTGGGTTAACTTTAGGATTTTATAAAAGTTTTGATATGAACCAGGTAATTCGGGTTTGGATAAAGGATCAGGGTATGGATTCAAGGTTAGGTTAGGGTTATTAATAGGATTCGGATTAAGGTTAGGATAAGGTTTTGGGTTAATTTTAGGATTTTATAAAATTTTTGATATATGGAAATTTCTTTAAGTGTCATATTACATGATTAATTATCCGTTCAGTTATTGCATAAATACGACACATATACTTATAAGACATTGCGCGCTCGTTTCATTATTCCATACAACTTACTGGTGGGTTTTGCTCTCCAACATCTTCTTTGCCGTCTCCTTCCCTGCTGCCATTTTTACTCCGTGAACTTTCCTCTATCGCACTTGCACAATGTGTAATCTTTTCATTCTGCAGCGGCTGCAATCCCGCGAACACATGAGACGCCTCGTGCCTGTATTTGATCTTGATTGATTTCAGAAAACCCGGTGGTAGGCTGTCTGTTCGTGTATCGCCTATATAATCTCTTAAATTCATGTCTAGGCCTGCTTAGGTAAGCTAGAAGCAGTTTGTTTTATCCATTGATACTATAATCGCTTATTTTTGGTCCTGCTTTAACTTGATCTGTTCAGAAGTGTCAACATTGTGTGTCGCCAAGCAACCTGATAATTGGTACTTTAAAATGATAATTACACGATCTTGTTATTTTTATTGCGTCAGTGTTTAATCAAAGTCCTGTTGAAAAAGACAGAGCACGGAGCCTTACGCCCGTATTCTAAAATCTCACTCACACTCAATGTGTTGCAGTTCAATCTGAGCTTTGCTGGAGTGGTATTGCTGTTTTTGAATAGCTGGAGGGCTAGTGTGATATCTTACTCTACTTACTCTCCAGCTATTCAAAAACAGCATTGACACTCATCACTCGAGAGTTCAGATTGAACCTCCATTCATTGAGTGTGAGTGAGCATTTAGAATACGGGCGTAAAAGTTTTCCTTTACGCAAGTCAATAAATCGATTTGTATCATCCTGCACATCGAGATTTTGTTGGCATCTCACTCAATTCAATAATAGTTGAAGGGTCTTGTTATTCTTGTAGATGGAAATTATCGAGTGGAAATTTATATACATTTATTAAACCTAACCAGAAACAGCTGGGACTTTAGGTCCCTGGTCCCATCTACAAGACCCTTCAACTACCATCCTGCACAGCCTGCGCCACGAGACGCATGCTACATCCTACATTTGATACTATACAAATAATGAATGTTTATGAGTGCAATGGTAAGAATATTTTCATGAGCTGAAAGATGCAATGTTCGACTCAACGAGGTGACAGCCGAGTTGAATGGAACATTCCATCTTTCACCGAATGAAAATATTCTTACCATTGCGCGAATAAAAACATTCATTCGATTCCTGCCAGAGGAACTATAGTTGTATTTTTAAACTGTTCCTGGTTAGGTTTAATGAATGTATTTCAAAAACTCAATAATAATTCAGGAGCAAAACACAAAGAAAAATCATAAGCGTGTCGTGGTTTTATATGTGATAAAAAATCACGTTAATTTACATAAACTTTAGCTTTG